AATTGTGACGCATTCTGTTAAATGTGAGCTAGGCATACCTAAATGTTAGTGGTGCAGCCCAGATTAGGAATATGAGCAATACTCCCAAACCAGAAGCGGTGTGGGAAAAACATAGTATGCAGAAGGAATTACCTCGCATAGGTTTAGAAAGAAGAGAGACATTGGCTAAAGCAATTGTAACCACTCCAGCTGTGCTAATCTAAAAAGCATGCGCCGAGTTTTCAATGCTAGTGAGTTTTTACAAACTCATTTTGATTACTCTACTGTAAGTATGTAAAAGACGTGGTGAGCCTTTTTCACCGCGCTGAACTGCAAAGCTTCCTTGCAAAACTCCTGAACTGCAGTGGCGGACCGAGGAGGGAGGGGGGTCTCGAAATTTTCAAAAGTTATAGGTGCTGCGTGGCGAAGGCGCAATAACTTTGGGCGCGAACGCGGCTTTATTAACCGCAGAGCGCTTGAGGCGCAGGACTTATAACGGTGAAAATACGCGCGCGCCGCGTTCGCGCCCGCTCAACCAATACCGCTTCTGCGCCTTCGTCATGCAGTAGCCTTTACCTACGGTACCTTTACCTACCTACCTATGGTTTTCACAAATGTGAAATAACTTGTTTATGTTAGGTGGGTGCAAAAATTTTGTCATTTTTTAAATGACCCGGAGACCTCGTACAATAAAGATAAACAAATACTTCAAACAATGTCCGATGCAAAACTTCTTCCTCTTTCCAGCGCTGTATGTCCTAGTGTGACTCGCCAAGGAAGTGCTGAGATAATCGCTGTCACAGCCCTTCGTTTCACCTTTCCAACTTTCACTAAAATTTTTATTCGGGATTTTGGAGAAATTGTGATAGCCAGCAGAGAGGACAAACCTTTTGCCAACTAAAGATACACTTTTTCTTTTTTTAGCTACTCTTTTACAACCTTGCTAAATAATTTTCCAAAAGCCTCGGTTGTGGAGAAACCGCATAACCTGCTATTGCAAAAAACACTGCTAAATCTTCAAGTAACTACATTTCAGCACTCGATTATCATCATCACTAACTTTAAAAAGTAAATGAGCGATTTTCGCGTTAAAATATGAAGATTCAGAAACTTGGGGTACATCAGTGCGCACTCGTGAAATTTAGAAGTACTGAGTTTTCCCTCAAATTTCCTCGTTATTCCAAGAAAAGAGAACTTTTAGGAAGAGGAGAAATAGTTGCATCAAATGGTACCTGAACTGATTACCGTTCCAAACTTCTACGAAGATAGATTAGACCGAATATATAATTCGGTTTCCTTGAAAAATGTACATTGTAGAAATTCTAAAAGACAATTCAAAACTAATTATATCAATTGCCAAAAGGTTTGCCCTGTCTGCTGGCTAACAGTTTCTCCGAAAGTCCCGAGAAAAAGTTCTGAAAATTAGCGAAAGTTGGACATGGTGAAAACGAAGAGTTGTGGTTTCCAGCAATTATCTCAGCACTCTCTTTGCAAGTCACCTTGGGAGATACAGGGCTGGAAAGAGGAAGAAATTCTGCATCGGAGACAGCTTGAAATGTTTGTTTATCTTTATTGTACGTGATTTAGGTCATTTCAAAAAACTGAAAATATTTTCACCGACCTAATACTTTTCCATAAGTAGAATAATTTCTGAATTCTTCAAAAACCCATAATTAGCCTCGTAAAAAATTTTCGGAGGGTAGGGGGGGGGAAGCGCGCCCACTTTTTCTATAATTTCGAAGTCATGGGCCTGGAAGAAATCCTGGGACCGCCACTACTTCCTTGTTCAGCATAATGCTCGCAGATCATAAACATGGACACATCAATCAAGTAGCAAATTACTATAGCAACGATTTGACACTATAAATCGTAATGAAGACTTTGCGCACCTCGGCCTTTCACAAAATTTCAACTTCAAAAGATAAGCAAGTTTCTGAGCTGAATGGCAACAGTAGCCCCTAGGAACCTTTCTTTTACTAGCTGAGCGTCATTACACTTCGTTTATTAGGGAGTTGCATAATTTCTTACCGTTTTTACTACAACCATCGTCTTTCCATATCTTTCCTTCAATTGATGTGGCTTGAGTAATCATTCGACAGAGCAAAGCAAGCTCTACAAAATGGCTCTCAAGGGTTTGAACAAATCGTTTTCCACGTGAAATTTTAAGCTGAAATCTGATAGCTGTCAAAAACGAATTTCTCCGTCAAAAATCATATCTCCGTCCCAAAAAATGTTAAAAATCCTTTTATCCTAGCATATGCTTGACGCATCGAACATTCGATTGTACAATTTCCGTGTTTTTCCCATGGCTAGAAAAAGAAAAAATTGATTGGGGTGAAATGGCAACTCCGCCCCTCGTCCTGAGCTCCTCTCACGCAGGTGATTATATAACTCATACATACAGAAAAGTACGACCAAGTGTTTGTAAACTTTATAGGTGCCCCAGTTCTCGAGATGCTGATTTTCAGGGTAAAAATGGAAAAATGGTGAAAAATTGTGGGACACCCAAACATAAAATATGTGAGGAAATGAAATTAAGAACACTTAATACCTGATATGAATTGCCTCTTAATCGTCTTATCTCGGTTACGGCATACCTTACCGGCACTTTCAAATCACACTAACCAGTGAGTGAAAGGGAATCGCACTACCCAAAGGAGTTTGCACTCACTGAATAATGTGATTTAAAGGCAGTGTCGAGGCAAATTTGAGCACATAGGTTTCTCGCTTGGAAACTGATGAGGTGCTGCTAACTAAGGCACTGATAAAACGGCAGCGCAAATCGTCCATTCACGGTTGATAAAAATCCACCTCCACAGACCTCAGTCCCGCGCCGTGACGGTAACTCGAAAAGAACCTCGTTCACTTTGAAGTCTGACCAAAATTGAGTCTCCAGTCCAGTGGAGTCTCCACATATTTTTTACGCCTAGAATTTTGCTCTCAAATTGGCATGCGATGCGCGATTTGGGTGCACGGCCTACGCTTCTGGTTTCCCTCTACGCCCCTTCAACATGTTCCTCCACTTGGCGTTCACCTCCATTGTGTTACTGCCACTGTGGCGAAGGCTAGCATTAGAAGGCACAACTCGAAACTCCTGTCCGCACTGCTTGCACGCGGCTTTTGAAAAACCGGGTTTATGTGCATTTATGCGGTTTGGACCCGCACAGGGCCCGGCATGAGTCCGTTTCTAAGCTTTTTGAAAACGAAGTCCCCCCTGACTTTCGAAAATTTTACGAAGTCCCCTTTGACCCTTGCCCCTACCCCCCCCCCCCAACCTTCCACCGAGAAGCAAACAAAAGTTCGACAATCTATAATCTTTGACAATCTTCGTTACACTGACACTCAACTTCGTTTGACAATCTATGCACCGTCAGAAAGCTCAAGGAACGATCAAGCACCGCTCTTATCAGGAATACATGGTATTTTATTTGAAAACATGCATGTTCTTGCAGGAGATTTCCGAAAAATGGATAAGATTGCCTAACTGTCAAACTGTTTCAAATAATCAAAGAAAAGACTTTGCCAGTAGACGTAGACCGATTCTTTTTTCACTTTTTATCTTCGTTTCAGAAATTAGCTGATGTTGCAGCTAGATGAACTTTCTTGCCTGTGAATTTTGAGAAAGCTAAAGAAGAGACAGTCTATCGACACTCCCGTCGATTATAAACGTTCCACTCCGATTGTGTTATTGTCTGATGGGACATAAAGCCTACCCGCATCGAAACACTCTGTTCGATGACCTCTGGTGCCGTATTGCAAAATTTTCCACATCAAATCTCTGTACCACTTTTCTCCTCCAGTTCACGCCTCGTTCCGCTCGAAATGTAAGCTAACGTCTTTTGCAATTCAGTTAACCTCTTCACTTTTCAAAATCGAAAACATTCGTATATGTCTGGAGAGGGCTTTGCTTCTCCTATAGCGCCTATTTATCAATGCCATTGCAAGCAGTAAGATCACTTAACGCTCTATGTCTGCTGAATGCATTGCTAAGAAAAAAAATTGCTTCGCACAAAAATTTATAGATCGTTTGTTATGTCGTTTACTTCCTTGGCATTACTGTTCAAAGACCGAAGCAGAATCAGAAAATAAGCTGCGATTTATCCATATAAAATCTACAAGGTGACTTCCTCGACAGACCATTATTTGAAACAATTGATAGTCAGCACCTACCAACTTTATTGGCAGAATTCCCTCAAAACAGCATAATAAGTGGCACATGTCCACGAGGAATCTGCCAAACAGGAGGCAACAATCAAAGCTGCAATAAATTATTGGAAAACTTCAAGTTGTGAAAGCCATACGTTGATGCTACATGCGTGGAGTTACAGAAATTAGTATAAAATTAGAATAGAGAAGGTTACGCTCCCAATTCAGCATTGGCGTACCGAGGGGGGGGGGGGGGCGGGGGGGGGGGGGGCGCGCGCCCTCCTCCCCCCGCCCTCCCCCCGAGAATGGGTCGCGAAATTTTTGAAAGTTATTTACAAGGGTTATAAAAATGTGCAAATGACTTGTTTATTTTTGTAAATAATTAAAATAATTTTTAAAAATTCAAATTAGCCTTGTAAAAAAAAATTTTTCGGGGGCGTGGCTGACGCCACGCCTCCTTTTTCCACATTTTAGGGGTTGGGGACCCGCAAAAATTTTTAGAAGCACCCCTAAAATTTTTTCGGAGTGCGTGGCTAACGCCACGCACCTTCATTCGAAAAAAAATTTTTGTCGCGCCCCTCCGAGCGGAAATCCTGGGTACGCCACTGCAATTCAGGTTTGGAAGATGAGCAATGAATACCGTTAGAAAAGCAGTTCTTAAAACCAATCTTTTTGCACATCAGTTAGTATAGGATTACTATAGCACAGAATGTAAAGTAGCGGAAGTTTTACAATCAACCTGACAAAGCATGAAAAACGCGTAATATAAGCTAGATGAAGTGTAAGTACATAAGGAAGATCTTAAACAAGCACAAACATGGCATTTGAAAGTTATGAGTGGATATGGACTTGATAAGCGCTAACGATGGGGATTTTTATTTCTTGTTGCTTTTTGGATCTCTGCTTCTGCCACTTATAGCTCTTGCCATTTCTTTAGTCGATCTGGAAAAAAAACGAAAAGATCCAGCTAGGTATTTTTTTGAGAATCATCGAGATTATTCAAGTATTATTCAAAAGTATTACCTCTAAGTAGGATTATATCCCAAGAATTCTTCAGAAAAACCAGCAGAATAGGATAGACGCTCACTTGAAAAAAAGGCTTTCAGCCACAAAAATACTTGCCCGTGCATTCCGACAGTCCGCCGAACATCTTCTTGCTGAAATTAACAGCGTCGCGCACGTATTTTCCCTGACCGTAATCCACAGTGCCTGAAAACGAGTGATAAAATTGCTCAGTTCTTTCTATAAAGGGCTTCTTCTTCAGCAGCTGTGAGACTCGATACGATTTTCATCATGTCAAATGTTTTATCGGTTCATATACCATACAATCTACAACTAACATTTCTACCCCAAACAAGCGAAATATCAGCATCCTATACCATACCCGGACTAATCATGGCAATCTTGAGAAAAACAATTAATTCGCATGGCCTCAACTTTCCCAATTGAGTAAAAGTAGAATGCACTAACCATACAAGTGCGCGCTTTTTCTTCAATAAACGAATCCCGTAACACCAATGCTAGCTTAGAGGTTCGGAATGGAACATGTTGGCTATTCTTGGCCATGGCTCCAATACATTCCTAAAACAATAATAGATAGCAATAAAAACAGAAGTACGAAAATCAAATCACAACGTCTTTGCAACAACATGATGTAGGTACTTTACCTTCAAGGCAAGCAGCGACTTCTTGATTTCTGCACCTTCCATTCGGGTTTGTCTATCAAAATTACCGATATCCTAACCCCTTGGTTACCCGCTAAATCTATCAGCGAAAACTTTCCCCATAATTTATTGCCCCTAAAAATGTGTAAATAAGGGGTAACTACAGCTGATTTGCGTAACCATACCTCCTCGAAACTATTTGAAAGACGGCATGGGATCTGCTCGAATTGGAATTTGCAGATGTTGCTCCTGCGTGCACATATCCGTGCCCTGCCGGATCAGATCAAGAACCTAAGCACAATGTGGTAATAAAGAAGCTGTTCAAGTTCAGTGAGTTAAGAAAGATTTTCAAAAAAAAACAATCAAAGAAGAACTCACATCGTTTTCGCACTTCACAGGAACCTCTTTCAGTCCAACAACTTGTATTTCTTTTTTGCCATCTTCAAGAACTCGCAATAAAGCTTTTTGCTTCAGAAGGTCGAACACCTGCACTGGCAGCTTATAGGCAAAGCAGGGCTCTTAGGTCTTTAGAAAAAGCAGACCAACCTTTCCGCCATAAATCTCAAAGAAGCTGCAGCTGACAGAAAGATTCAGCTTCTTGTACTGCTGTGAGTGTTGCATTTTGAATACGTCGCTGCAGTCATGGCATAAATTCCACTAGCACACTTCTTGAAAAAAAAAGCAATCGTAAAATTATTTCAAATGGATACCGAGAGTAAAGCTCACCTGGTTCTTACCCGTAAAATCACCACTCATAGTATGCGTATTGATTGCCATACAGAATAGCGCCCACAACATGTCTGCAATGAGAAGAAATTCACTGCGAAGTTTGAAGAAAGAACCTTATGGCTTGAAAATGTTGACCAACCTGCCAGTTTGACTTTTTCAAGCTGAGCATTCGATCTACAAACATTGCGCTGACGTTCCAGACACTGGGATTGAGGTTTGAATATCTGCAACGGAGTTTTATGGTTAATAAACTGATGAGAACAAGTAAAAAGACCTTACCTATCAACGATAGCTCTCCACTTGAGCATCAAGTTTATTCTGTCATCCCATGAGGTGTTTGTACAATACCATCAACGAAAATTTGCGAACAGTGACTCTAAAGAATCCCAAAATTAGTCAAAGTTTAGAAAAGAAACGTGAACCTTCAAAATGAAGAAAAACAAAATAACTGAAAAACCACTCACGTTTTGTCGTAATCGATGTTGAGGAAAGCCTTAGGATGCTTGTAAAGCGGATTTCCCAAGAAACCAGGCAGCTCCTTATATCCAAACTCTTTCTCATCAGGATACTCATGTGCATCGAAGTAGAAATCGAAGTCATTGACACCGACTCTTTAATAGTAATCGGTATAATCTCGCAGCCGAAACATGGTGAAGTTAGAGCCTGAAACCGATACCTAGTATTGTTCGAAATAGCATAAGTGCAACATATCTTACATCGATAAGAACGAAGAACCAAGAACGAGTACGAACGAACGTAGAACGACAAGAAAAGACGAAGGAAACAGTGTTTGCAGCAAAGCGACCAAGCGATCAAAATTTCGCTCACCGCAACGCGGAATGGGCGGTGGAGCACGACAACTAACATGGCGATTTTCAAAAAAAGGGGATAAAAAAGGACGGACAGGGGATAATATGAAAATGTTTTTTTGCTCAGGGATAGATTTTTGACCGGGGCATTCGTCCATGCTGGAAAGATCCGAAACTTATGTGAAGTGACGAAAATATATGCTCCAGACGATCTCAGATCGTCTGGTGGCCGTCTGGAGACGATCTAATTTTGGAAAACGTATTTCTTCACATAAGTTTTCAAATATTTTTACATAGTTCTTCCGCAAATAATTTTCTATACACACAGTTCAATTTTGGTGTCATATGATTCTGTGTGCGCTGTAAACAAGCAATTTGTTGATTTTAGCCCTGCTTTCAAATCGCGCGCACTTTTCGCCAAACACGATAGAGCATGTCAACTGTGTCATAACCTGTCCAAAAAGCTTCTATTCGACTAAACGGCGCTTATTCTTGGTGTTCGGTTCCGACTCGTCAAAAACGAGATCCCCTTTGCTTTTTGCTCCAAAAACGAAGTCCAGCCTGCTTCTAGACGATCTGTGCCGGGCCCTGGACCCGCATTAAGTTCGACAGGAACGAAAAGGCTTGCAATATGCAAAAATCTCGACAACTAAATATTGGTGAAACACTGCCTTCAACATTGCGTCCGTGCTAGGACCCTTCAGCCACTGGTTGCGGTCACGGCACAGGTGCGGAGTGTTTGAGAATGGATTTCTCAGCCGTGGAGATTTCATTTTCGCTGCCGTTGGGGCTGTGCGTTTATGATACCCTCACCAATTCCCAGGCAAAAATTCGACTTCACAGACTTGCCTGCATATTGCCTTCAAGTCTTAGAGAGCGGAGAAACGTAGAATGAGGTAAAACAACTTTTGTTCTAACACGTATAATTCCGGCTTACCAGTGCGAGGATCGCTGACACAGACACGTTTTCGACAGACGCTGGGGGATTCGGCATGTCTGCTGAAATAGGCTTACAACGTCCAGTTCTGATTCAAATTTGTCATTCCTAAAATGCAATCAAAATCTAACACATTCATTCATATTTAGGAAAAATTGGCGAGTTATCTTGAGAAGTAAGTCTGTGTTTCGATATTTCCCTAGCTGAGTGGGTCTCAATCAGCTTCACATCTTCGTGATACATACGCAAAGCAGGCTTGAAACGTTTTGAAGTTCCTCCTCAATCCAAATATCGTTCTATCGCTCTTTGCTATCTACAATTTTCTGCATATGTGGTGCTCTACATACACGATTAGTACCCCGTGTTCTGTTTTTCATCGGCATACGCTGGTTTGCTGAAAATTCTTAATTTCTTGGGTAAAAGCGAGACTGCATTCAGCTTTTTACCAGTATAGCAAGAGCTGAAAATGTTCAACAAACATTTAGGATTGTAGTCATGTGACTAAGAAGCTTTCGATATAAAGCGCGAATAGCACTGTCCCTCTAGTATGCCTCTTAGTAGATTTCACAAATGAAGGAATGTAGGGAGACTTTGGAGGTTAGATTAATCTAAGTTTGACTTGAAACAATCTTCTTCTGTCCATTCAAACGAGTGACAACAGCGAAAAGGAACATCTGCGCCGCAGCATTTGAGCTCGATTTTGGACGTTATATATACCATCAGCAGTGTTATAGGGTTCTGGAGAAGTATGTAGCACATAACCTCGTCTCCAATATTCTATGTTTATTATAGATAGTGAAGTTTTATTCTGGCCAGACAGATTGCAGCGCAATTTCATGGCAAACTCTCGAAAATAGGTTAGCCTGATCTCTCTTGCTTAATGAACTGGATCCAAATCATGCTTCCAAATTTCAGCAAAAAGTTTTTCAAAAAGGGAAAAGAAAACACAACTTGTCCACGTCATAATTTTGGGTCAGTAAACGATTGCTTGTACTTTGTGGGCCACTTTTTCTCATCTAACTGTTGCCGCAACAGTTTTTTCTCAAAGGAATTCACAATTTTTCCCAGTGCAACTGCGGGCTGTTTATCTTCAGGATACTTCGCAGTCGCTGCTATCTTACTCTAGCAGTAGAAAGTTTCTCAAATTCTGGTTGGAAAGAGAATTTCTGGAAGATTTTCATACCTACAGAAGAGCGGTAAAAATTGATATGCATCGGGTAAGGATCGGCCGCCGGGTAAAGTAGAGAGTTTTGTGGGCGAATTTTTGTAAAATGCTAAAATGAATTTTCATCTGGGATTCACGTTTATTGTATTAGAAAAACCTAAAAATCATGCCAATTTTTGGAACTTCATCTTGAACAGAACCTTTTCCGCACCCTATAAAGAACTATAAAAGTATTCTAGATCTTTACCTCAACTACTGGTGTATTAACCGTTTACTGAGTAGAAAGAATGAGCGATGTGCTCTTTGACGTTTCTAAGGCAGCCCGCGCCGCGTACGAGCGCCAGGGATACTTATGGAGAGCTGTCGGAAACAGAATGTATCACCGCGGCGCAGCCGATTTGCTGCTTTTGAACATGGAACAGAGGCTGAGGCTTGAAACTTTGCAAAAGCTTCGATCAAGGAGCAACTAAAGCGCTAGTGACATGCAAAGCAATGATTGCACCTACGGAGAGAACTTGGATTACAGACTACTGGAAGCTATGTGTCAGTGTAAAAAGCTCTTGTGCTTTGATAAAGCGCCTTTGAAAAATAAGAAAGTAATTATAACCATTAAAGCAAATAATGACCATATTGTACATATAACCGCTAGTGTTGATTTAAGAACCATTCACCCTTCTGATAACGTAAGTGTCCCCGTCTAGTGGTAAAAACTTCTTCCCTTGGAGCGCGGGTGCTCTGCCATTCCAATCTGATTACGCAGTTATTGAATGCATAACGTTGAAGATAGTAAAGAGCAAGCTTGAGCTCACGAATGGTACCGTAGTCCAAAGGCAAACCTCATTGCTCTATACTCTCTGTACTCGGTATCCAAAACATGTGACCTGTTAGAATAAACATAAGTGAATCTGGAGATAGTGAGTGCACTCTGACAAAGTATGTAGTAGTAGTCTGTGTAGTAGTCTCAAAGTATGCTGTTGTATTGGTGAGACATTATGGCATCGACTTTAATCCAATGGATTGGGTTCTATAACAAGGAGTCTAGTACATCAGGCGCAAAGTATAAACACCTGTATTGTTAGTTTCTACTATTCCATATTTGTGCCATCGTTATTTGTTTGTAAAAAAAACTCTGACACTTGAGGGGGTTCTCTTCATGTGGTCTTGTTATAATCATGTAAAGGTTGTTGAGGTGTTAAATAAAACAAGGGGTTATGGCATTTTTGTTACAGAAAATGAAAAAAATGCGAGACCCGAGTGTTTTTTTGCATCAATAAAGACCTGAGGGAAAGCCAACAACGGTTTCTGGTTCAAGAAAATGGCCGAATTCCTTTACCAAAAAGTTGTCAAATCAAGTTTTATTGGGGCGACTATTGAGACGATCACGCGCATTCTTGAAAATTCGCGTAAGAGATCAAATGTCCGTATCAAAGCAGAGGTGAACATTTCTAAGTGTGATTGGCAAGTTTAAGAAAGATTTTTTAGCTAGAAGATAGTAATTGTTTGAGATCGAACTGTTCGGTGTAGAGTCAGAAGCATTTCTTGGCGTCAGAATTTATGCGCGCCTCCTTGTATATTGCACTGCGAGGGCGCATAATCACGATTCGTCAAAGTGATTCTCAAAAATGATTTTTTTTTGATCTCCCTTAGTCTCGTGCTTGACTAACTCAAGATTCTCAAATGTTCACCTCAACTTACCCTAATTTCTCGTAAAGTTCGCGGGGTTCTTTTTTTGAAAGTCAAGCAGTCTAAGTACGACAAAAGATTTAGAGCAGCTTGAGGACCTCAGACAATCGCAAACGACTTTCGGGAAAAAACTGAACTTCTAAAAACTTCTCCTACGGGGCGAATGCTTTCATCGAGCCCTGTGAGTGTGCCCCGCCCTACCTGGCTCCGCCCTACCTGGCAGCATTTGCCCCGAGAGTCTTTGCGCTCGTCTGCGACTGTGTTGCGCATTACCTGAGAGCGCGGTATAGCAATTTCGAGAGGCACAGGAAACCGCGGAGCTGCTAGCATTTGAAGAAGAGAAAGGTGCGCCTCGCATTGTGAAATTTTAGTAGTTGGTATTTATAGTATTTTAGTAGTGCGCGTTCATTGTCGCTTGAAAAAAGCCTGTAGCGCTTCGGGACCAAACGTTTCCAGCCGCGCCACGCGTTGGTGCTCAAAGCGAAGCGTGGCCAAATGGATTTTACGGGGCCTGTATGTATGTGTGTGTCAGTGGGCCAAAAAAGGGGTGTGGCGCGGCAACGCCCGAAAAATCTTTTTTTAAGGCTAAATGAAGCTTTCAAAAATTTTAAAAACCATTTTAATTGATTACAAGTATAGACAATAACTAGCACACTTTTATGACTCAAGTGAGTAACATTCAAAAATTTCGCAGCCCATTCTCGGGGGTGGGGGCTCGGTACGCCACTGGTATGTGTGTGTGTGTGTGTTTGTTTGTACAGTCTGCCCCAATCGGGATCAGGCTGAACCGTCGGCTGAACTTGCGCGCTCGCAGCGCTAGGGGTTTGCGCTGCATACGCGCGCTGTCGCAGAGAGGGAGATTGAGGAGAGAGCAGACTAGCTAGACGCAGAAGTGGCGCGAAAGCTCGCGACGCGCACTCCCGCCAAGCCAATTTTGGCCTGGTTAGGATTGGGGCAGACTGTATTTGTGTTTTGCAGAAGTAAGCAGTTAATCGCATTCCAAACAAATTCACGCGCCATCTTACTCGCAACTACATTCGTATCCAGACTTTTTGCAAAACCCGGATCCGTTTGTGGCAATGTGCAACTCTACTCAGATATGTGCAAAAAGTACCCTAATTTCACGCGTATAAGGCGCCGGGGATTTTTTTTCCAAAATTGACAGCCCGGACAAGCCAAAGGACTTTACAACCAAAGGACCCTATGACGTGCTGTATATTGCTTGAGAGAATCGTGCGATGTAATGATTTCTCTCCAGAATACAGTGAAGCTGTATTCCGGAGAGAAATCCTGGCTGAGCGTGTTTGAAAATTCGAAAAAGTGCGCCTTATACGCGTGAAATTAGTGTAGTTGAAAAAGTTTTTCTTATACGAAGACAATGCTAGAAAAGAAATTGTCAGCTTCTCGAGTCTATGTCCAGATGATTTAGATAACTTTTTGCCTTGAGAAAGGATATGGTTTTCGATGCTACCATGCTAGGGCCGATAATTAATTTGACTCTTCGTTAACTCTTCTGTTGTGAAGTTTCATCCCTTCCAATCTAACGAGCTTTGTGGCAATTTTAAATTCAGAAATGAATATTTACAAGGGATTTATAGGGTTCCGTGTGTGGGGGAAAGGTGCATGACTAATTGGTGCCCATAAGCAACATTGCATCGGAAGTGCTGACGAGGGCAGGTTTTGGACTGGCTTGTCGAGGAGTGGCAACGCTATGTGGAATTTCGCGCATACGAGTTACGACGTTTCGCATGTGTACAGCAGCCCACTCCAATAATCGTTCTGTGCAATAATCGAGCTCAATCTGCAAGGTGATTGAATTGTTTGGAGGCTATCTCTCTCTCTTTTACGTCGTAGAACTATATTTGTGCTTCTTTATGGCGCGATGTGCTATTCTATTTGTAGCAGTGGCTCTAATAAAAACCGGTCTTTTTACTACAATTAGTAGATTAAGAAAAAGGCTATTGAAATGAGGACGAGTGATCACGGCGATAGGGCAGTACACTCCGTGTGCTGCCCTATCGCCTCTATCTTAAGAGTTCTCGGTACACTTCCTGTTTTCATAATCCCAAGGGACAGTTGTTTAAGTTCTGAAACGAACTCCCTCATGAGTTCGCACAATTATTCCGACGTCTCCTAGTACAAGTTGGGATGAGGGATGAGGGTTGCACAAAAACAAAGACAACAAAAAATGACCATTCCGCACCATGAAAAGAAAACAATATGCGCAAGCTTTTGCAAAAGAAAGCACTATTCTAAGTAACAAAACAAAAAACGTTTATGGAATGAGAAACCTTCTCTGCACTTCTACCTGCCACAGCGAAGTGTATACCAGAAAAGACAGATGACTAGAAGCCTTGTCCTACTTTTAACATCTCTAAAATTCTGTACGCGTGTGAGACGACCGATGTTGAAGTATAAGAATAACAACTATGGAAACAACATGATTGGCAGTCCTTGATCCAATGCAAAATGCGAGGCAAAGGTGAGTTATGCTTGTAAGTAATGGTGGCAGTCATAGAGAGAGAGTGATCTACATACCTCATCATAAGCTAGAGAAGAAAGCCAAGCCCGCCCAGTAAGCAAGTGGCCTTTAGAGTAATGCAGGGGTCTTATTTGCACGATGATACCCGCCGCCCAATAGGATTCAAAAACAGCGAATACAATAAGGCAAGCAACTCAGGCAAAAGTACCGGACGAGCGGCGCTCCACCATAGGAGTCCCAGACGAGCGGTCAACCGTAGGAGTCCCGAACAAGCGGCGCCCCACCATAGGAGTCCCGGACAAGCGGCCGCATTCGCCGACCGAGCGCACTCTGTCAAGGCGGGCGTTCTGCAATCTGGAATCACCGGGCGGACGGGCACAATCACCGGTTCAGCGGCCACCAATCAACCGGCCGAGCAGTATACAATCGGAAGATGCCGGACGAGTGCTTACAAACACCGGCCGAGCGGCATCATTGACCGGCAGGGGTCTACAATCGAAGTGCGCGAAATGAAGCTTTTCACGTTTGATGGCTACCTCATATTTTGACATGACCAAAATTCCATTTCATCTTCTGTGAATACAAAGGTATTATTCATTCTACCGAAGATCGGGGTTGAAGCGGCATGCCAAACGAGAGGAGCTTCAGCCATATAAATCAACGCCGCAGATATGGATGTCGGCTTTCACTTTACTCTTTTGATTTTGTTGGTGTTTTTTCACTTTATTCTTTTAAATCTGTTGTTGTCCTCTCAGTCTCTTTTTGCAAGCTATCCAGTGTGTCCCAAAAAATGTGCACACTGTTTGATTTTACAATAACTTTCCTACTTCTATGACATTTGTCGTTCTTTACGTATCATTCTGTAGAGCTGGCTACAGCTTAGATTTACAGTATCGAAGCTGATTTCCTATCCTTCTTCATTACTGTAGGATTATGGTAGGTCTTTGAAGATAGGTTGAAGCCATAGAATTCGCATCTCCCCCCGGAAAGAAAACTTACTGTTTAGCAGTCTACATAGTTTTGCTGTTCATCGCCTCAAACAAACAAGTAAAAACTCCACACTAGGCTAATTGGCGTCGCTGATTACAGATATGCAATCGTGCACACCGCGGTTGTGCTTTCTCCATAAGTTATTTCAGAAAAACGGTAACAGCTGCTCCTCCACCACTCTTCCAAAATGTGATTGCAGCTCTAAAAAGGCTTAGAATTCTTGTAAAAATTGCTTAATGAAGTCAACGTGCTTAAAAATCCTGCTGCAGAAACTCTGAATTTTTATTTTTCGGGATTTTTTATCATATATTCCTTGCTTTATTGTTGCAGCACGATAAATATTTAAAATTTTTTCATACGTCGGAGGTTTTAACCTTGGTATCTGTATGGTATAAATCATTTTTTAGGATTCTAGAAAATTGCTTTTTTAGCATTTTGATTCACTCTAAGCTTTGCACTTATGTGAAGAGGATCCAAGCACGACAGTTTGCAGCCAGCCACTCTGATTTTAGAAAAGCCCCATTTAAACCTGTCATCTCTGTGAACGCCCAAGGATATTCGTGGAAGTTTGCTCTGAATATGAGTGGATTTAAATTCAATATTTGTGCAAGGAAGAGCCGTGTCGGAAACGATGGATGCCAGCAGTAACACAAGATTATTAAGATCGATGATGAAAAATATGAAGAGGATCTCTCATGAGGTGGAGTTGTGGTTTTTAAGTTATAACCGATTGAAATTGATTTGTGTAACAGTGTGCAGAACACTCATGTGGGCGTTCCGATTTGAGGATGGAAGAAAGTACTGCCGAGTTGACTCTCTACGATTGCGTGTTCAATGGAGTAATGACATGAACAAGGCGTAAGACTTTTTCTTAATCATAAAACCAAATGAACCTTCGATCAGCAGATATATCATATGATTTTATGTTTTGATCAACAATACCGTAACAGGAATCTGTGCAATCTGAGGCTGCACTAAGGGTGCAACGATTTCAAAGTGAAGGATTACACAATCTGAGGGACCAGACTGAAGAGGTGAGATTGAATAGTATAGCTTATTTTCTAATGGTGAAAATCTTCCATCATGGCTGAGAGCTGATCTATATATTGATAACCGGGTTTAGAGTGAGATACAATGCGATCGTTTAATCATCCCCAAACAATCCGCGGCTGCGCCGTGACCGTAATACTTAGGACGGGTCCCGGCGCGAAGTAGTGTCAAAGTGAATGAAGTCGTTTTCGGGTTACGGTCACGGCGCAGTGGACGGATTTCTCAGCCTTGAATGAACAGTTTGCGCTGCCCTTTGGGGGTGCGATCAAGATGAACGATCGCATGTGTCAGCCGCCAGCTGGGTACTGTACGCGGTGCGCTGATCGCTCCTCCTCCCTTGTTAATTAGCCTAGGAATGCGTTGTAGCTATTGGAAAACTCTCTAATACTTCGTTCGTGCTCCTTCAGTTGGTTGCAGTTTGGATAACAATAAATTTTAAAATTTCAATTAATTTGAAAATCAGTTTTCAGATCATTTTTTCATTATAAAATTAGTTCGTAAGCTCTTTCTAATGTACTTCAATTATTTGTTCCTAGAAGGCTTGTCCAAAGTTATTTTTCACTGCAGATTGAGGAACTTGTTTCGAAAATGCTTGGAAAAGTGTTTTTCTCTATTCACATCTGTTACCATATTGAATATGCTTTGTTGTGCACTCTCAAGTTTAGTTTAAAAAGAAGTCAGCTTATCGAGAAATACTATTATTATTGCTGAAATGACCAACACCATTATCTCTTTTATCTGAAAAGTAATTTTGAAACCCTAATCGTAGCTAAAAACAGATTTCATTGCGACGAGAATTCAAAACAAGCACTGTAGGCGAATTTTGTTTTAAGCAAATCAACTCGTTTTGCAAATATGCGGTCATATCACATAAATTTTCTCGGATTTCAGGAAAGTGATACTGCACTCATAAATTTTCGAATCTGCTTTAAATATCAAAATTCTTTTATTCTGCTTTCAAAAACTGCTAATATAAATCGATCTGTAACTCAATCGAAACTGCGTGTGAACCAGTTGCGAGATGTGAGGTCACTCAAACGATCATGCCTGAGGTGGTCTAGCTTGATTTCACACTTCAAAGTTGGATATCCAGGAGTCACTCGGTCATAAAATCAGCAAATCTCTCGAATTTCACGACCCACATCAGCTGTTCATCGATTGCCAAAAAAGAAACAAAAAATTAAAAGAAGATTCTGAAAAAAGTCAAGCTTCATCCTAGCTTGCAACAAGCTTATATCTCACTAACAAAAGTTATTTTTACTTGACGGTATTGTTCGAGAAACTCGCCCGCGCAGTAGGGCGGAGCTTGGAGCGAACACCTTTTTGCCAGTTCATGACCCCGCGCGCCACTGGTACCAGCTATCGTTCATCTTGACATATACCCCCCTTTGGACAGTACCTTAGTTAGGACCCCTCAGCACTTTTTATGCAAAACCCATGCTCCCAGATTTGCCTGGACACTGCCTTTCAGCTCATGTGTACGTCGTAAGAAAAATAGAGAATAAAAGTTTACGATTTTTTTCTGGTAAGTTAGCAACCTTTCATCTATTTTTTGCATTCAACGGTCAACCCTTTCCTCCCGCTAAGACCAGGAGCAATTCCAACTAAAACATAAAAACAATTTAGTATTCAGTGCAATCCGAGATGAGCACTTTAAAAATATCAAAATCGAGGGTTTCGCTTTAAACGTCTGCATCTTTTCTACAAAATTGAATAGCGGAAACGGAGTGCTTTCATAGTAACTTCGACTTCCGACCTTAACAGTGCTATCATGCTCAAGATGCTGCGAAAAAGCATGAATTTTGTGTATGACCACCTCCAGCTCAACAGAATAAGATTTAAGCGTTTGTTAACACCTATAAAGTTTGTGTGTAAGCAGAAATTTGCGGTGGGTTCGTTCAACCCTCATAACTCACCCTCATACCCTCATAACCCTCATACCTTCATAATTACGCAAAATTGCTTCAGTGACCTAAGCTACGTTACTGCATTATTGTAAAAAAATCAGTCTTTGGATCTCCAAAGACATCCCTGCAACCTTGACTCCAGCTAGAGTTAGAAGTTCTAATGAGAATTCACCTGAAAGTAATTGCATCCGTTTGATGAATACAGATTACGAGTGATATAAGTCGTTCCCGTTCAATACCAAATACCTTAAGGTGACTTCTCAAGGTAAAATCAACCTTGAGGAATACCTCAACGTACTCGGCTGTCTGCTGATAATGAATGATAAAATTACCTAAAGGTAGGATTTACCTCAAGGCATCATTGAAGAATACGGCCTCAGGAGTGTCATGTCGTTACGGCTCTTTAATATCATCGAGGCAACGATAAGGAGTGATTGCTCCTTCCAGAATGTAGAGCATGCAAGTCTCTTTGCAATATATTGTCGACCATTGCACGTGTAATGATTGGTGGTATAGAATCTCGAAATGTCATTATTTATAGGCGAGGATGTTCTCAAACACTGAATTTTGACGGAGTTACTTTGGGTACTAACTGGAACAGTCATTCTTGATAGAAGTAAGCAAGCATTACAAAGTACCAAAATCTCCCGACTAAACATGAATCTTATCCGAACTCACAGGGGAATGACAGGTCGAAATAGATGTACATCATTAGATGCGCTTTTTAACGCTAGTTCCACATCTGCTTCCCTTTTTTGAGGAACAAATAACAAAACGAAGTATGAGGCTCAAATATCCCATCAATCAAGCCACAAGCCGCTTGAAATTAGCGAAGAGCTGCACAAAATCGCGTGAAAATGGGCAACAATTTTGTATTGATATATTGACTACAAGAAAAGTCACTGAAAGTCTGCATAGGTGCTTTCATGCAACTTTCCTTGATTTTATGCCACTTGTGGCTTGACTAATTTGGAGCTCTCATAATTACTCAGAAAGGTGTTCCGCGTAAAAGAAAGCAGACTTAGAATCAGCGTTAAAAGACGCAATCAGTAATATACATCTTTTTTCTCCGCTGCAATAAGTTGATATCCTTTCTTAACAGATCAGTTTCGTAAACAATATGAACTTTTCTCTTTTTCTTTCCTGATTGTCATAAGTTACAACGTCAAGTGGTAGAGTCTGCGGACCAATGAAGACAATGCTACAGCATCTCTCATGAGGATAAAGCATGAGGAGATGCGAGTCTCACTTATTCTCCAGGGTAAATTTGTTGTAAAATTCTATTTTCTAATTCGAAACCATCGTTTGGAATTACGGAGATGTTTAGGGGAATCATGAAGAAATCTAAATTTTTCGTATATTAAGTCGTTCCGAAAAATTCTTTCTTTTTCAACCTATCGTAATAACTTATGAAATAAATGGGTAGACGTTTCAAGCACCATCCGACGCAGCTTTACTTCCTCTTTTCAAATGTCATGCTCATGTGCTATTCACTCTCATGGTCACTAAATGATCGCCGAAATTTCGGACCCACGGTTTTTACAATGTTTGATTTTGGGTTCTTCACAATCTTCTTCTCTTTTGACTTTTTGAAAAGTTCTGAGAGCAGTCAGTAGAGTAAACAAAGTGCAATGTGATGCAATTTTTCGGCATCTATAGCTAGCCTTAAAAATTTTTTTAGAATTAATTTTCTGATGCTATCAAA